CGGGGAACGGGAGCGCGTCCTGCCCGGTGCGGGTCGGGGAGGGGACACGGTCCTGTCAGGCCGTGAGGGCACAGGCTGGCCCGGTGCTCGGAAAGGTGTTTTTCTTTGTCTCCTCCGCCAACAATAACAGCTCCCGGAGCGGGCAGGGCCGCCCGCGGGCGCTTCGGGGAACCGGGTGTTTTGCCTCTTTATGTCTTGTCCCGCTGTTGATAAAACTGATGGATGTGCTCTGCCTCTGGCTTCTCCACCAGCTTTGTCCTTTTATAGTGCCTGGTTGCTGCCGTCCCCTTTTCCTGTCTTGTAGCCGGTTTAAACGTGATCAGAATCGGGGCAAGTTCAGGCTGTTTCCCTCCCTTCTCCCCTTTGCTAAATTTATCGTGATTTAGTGAGTGTTTCTGCTGAAACACAGGAGATCCTGATAACAATAAAATACTTTCCATGGTATCTATTTGCTTTCAGCTTTTTTCTCCTTGGAGGCAGAAAATGGAATGTGTGTTAGGACCTCACGGACTTGTTTCGAGCGTGTTATCTGAAATGCATGTAAAAACTGTTGGTTTAATGAGATTAGATTGGGTAATGCTCGTGGTGATCAGCCTAGTACAGCTCTCAGGAGAGGCAGCCTTCCACCCATTGTCTATATATTAATATACATGCCTATTAGTAATAGCCAAAGCATTTCTTATAGAGATATCTATGGCTATGTGACATTTTTATGGGCATTGTGAGCAGTTATTAAGAGATGCTCGAGCTCCTGTTGCACAGGAGATGGCTTGTTTGTAGTGGAGATTCTTGGCGTGACTGTTGAGAGACTCGTGAGCTAGCAGTTAGGTTACAGAAGAAAGTCCAGGAGACGTTCTTAAGTAAAACAATATATTTCTGTGTGCAGTGGGTTGATCTGTTCATGAGCACAGAGATCTAGAGAGAAGTTTGCATTTTGAAGCCTGAGATTCACTAGAAGTTTAACATAAGCAGTTCTCTGACTGAGTATTCGTGATGTTGTTCAGACTGATACGTGTTTTACATCTTCCTTGGTAATTTGAGGAGAAAAAATGTTTTTGGAGGCTGTGTACAGAATGGCCAGGTGTCTTGGTCAGACAGGTGAACACCAGTGTTTGTGTACAGCCAAGAGCCACAGTGTAGCTGCCTCAGATGACAGATGTGGAAAATCCTACATGCACTTTGCAGGGAGGTGCTGGTTGAGGGGTCCCCGAATCTTTATTTCAGGATGGGATGGGACTGAGTGTACTTTTGGGTTCCTGGTTGAGCTGGTGTTATTGATTCCAATAGTCCCCCCACCTTTCTTTCCCAACCAGGAACTTGTGTTTTCTAGCAGCCTCCCCATCAGCACATGCCTGGTGTTGGCCATTTGACACTGTAGCTCTCGGAGAAGGAGGCAGTGCCAACAGCGACAGGCTGCTTGTCTGTTCCCGAGGGGAATTGCCTGCTAATACAGCACAGAGTTTCTCTGCATGTTCTAAAAATGTCCAGAATACTGAACAGGAAAACAATCTCTCTGGGGTTTGGTGGAAGACAGTAGTTGTATGAACTAAATAGAAGCAATAATTTTGGCATTAAATGGTTCTGTACATTTCACATGGAATTTCTGGGGAAAAAAATAAGACTGGGAGACTGCTTAGGAATTGAAACAGGCATATCTTTCGTGAACCTGGATGCCTGGATACATAATGTTGCTTACTTAGGAGGATAAAAATCCACTGTGAGACTGATGGAGGTGCATCATCACTGGAGAGTCTGCTAAATGTTTCTTGACCTTAAAAATTATTCTCTTGCTGTTATAAGCACTGTACTACTTCTCAGTCTGTAAGTTTTACTGCTTTCTGGTTTTTACTCTCAGGTCACACTTCACTTATGTTTATTCCCTGCTCTGCTTGATGAATCATTCTCTAGCAAGTGGCTGTGAAATCTGTAATAAGTATTCAGGAACAATAAAGAAATGAGTTTTTACTGTAGAAATGACAGAAATGTCTGGCATTCTGTGTACACAGTTACTTTGTAGAGTTTCTGCTAGGCTAAAAATGTTACCTTCTATTTCTTGCTTTTTTGCTCTGTCACTGTAATTATTCAGTTTGTTATTTGATTTTATTCTTTAATTGTCTATCTCCTCTCAGTTTTCTTCTCTCTCTTTTTCCTTTTTCTTGTCTTCCAGTTTTAACTGTACTAACACCATTGCTGGTTTGCTACTCTTAGAGTGTTACCTTCTCCCAGTATCTGTACTTGGCCATCAGACACTATGAGGAGACTGGCTTTTCGAGGTGCTGGTTGTACTCTGGTAAATCTGGTAAATTATTGATTGTATGTGCACCATTCTCTCCATTCCTTTGCCTTAGGCTTTTGTTTTTCTTTATCCTAACTGATAATTATTCCTGCCTTATTCATCTCATTTGTGTGCTTGAAATTAGTTCTGTCTCTAACACGAATGCGCTTCTGTTGTGCTGCCGTGCCTTGTAAATCAGCTGAGTGCTTTCCAGAAGAAATTCCTTGATTTGGTTGGAAAATGGGTATAGGCTGGGATAGATGGATCTAGGCTGTTTTCAGCCTTTGAGACACCTACAAATAAAGACATTTTTCTGATGCTGTCACTGGAAGTTGGGAAGAGCCAACACCTTGTCCTGTAAATCGCCGTAGTTGTTGGATGGTCCTTACTCATTTGTCACTGTTTGTGTTGGCAAATGGAAAATTATGGCCAAAAAAGGAGGTGGCTTTTTCTGCTTCTTGATGATTGAGCCATTCATCCTACACATAAAGTGGGAGTGGTAGGTCACACGATGGTCTAGACCTTTTTTTGGCTTGAATCTAAGGCAAGGTATTCAGTAGCCATTTGAATGTTTGTTTGTAATTTGTTTTCTTCATGGTTGTTTTTTTGTTTGTTTGATGGTTTGGGGGTTTTTAAAATTTGACATGTAATTATGTGCTTTTATGGGAGAACTGAGCACATGTCTCTGGGGACAAACTTTAGCAGGGCCTGTGGTGTTAGGACAAGGGGTGATGGTTTTAAACTAAAAGGGGGGAGATTCAGACCAGATACAAGGAAGAAATGTTTTACAACGAGGGTGCTGAAACACTGGCACAGGTTTCCCAGAGAGGTGGTTGTTGCCCCATCCCTGGAAACATTCAAGGTCAGGTTGGACAAGGGTCTAGTTGAAGATGTCCCTGCCCATGGCAGGGGGGTTGGACTACATGACCTTTAAAGGTCCCTTCCAACCCAAACCATTCTATGATTCTCTGCAGCTTTTTCTTTCAAAACAGTGTTTCTCACTTAGTATTGTGCATGGGCTGAAGTATCAAAATTTAGATAGTTTAAAAACATATCCTAGGAAGAGCTGCTAAATTGCTCTTCATCACTGTGAGCCCTGAGCTTTCCAACATTGTTGTCATCAGGACTATAAACTGTACAACCGTTTTGATTTCCCTTTACTCTTGCCAGTTTTCAAAAAGCTGGTGTTTAGATGTATGGCTTAACTGAACTGTAGTGTGTAACAAACATATGTGACATCCTAAGCATCGATAGCTTTATAGTTTACTCTCACCAGAGAGTTTGGATGCAATGCCATGAGTTTAAGAACATCTCTCTTCATTATAGAAGAAGTTGGATTCCATGGGTTCCAAGAGGCGAAGAGCTACCTCGCCTTCCAGCAGCATCAGCGGAGGAGACTTTGATGACGGCCACCACTCCACAAATATACCAGGCCCAAGCAGAAAGAGGAGGAGACTTTCTAATCTCCCAACTGTAGATCCTGTTAGTACCTTCTTATTATGCACAACTTTCTTTCTTGGGAATACTGTATCCCTGTCTGGGAAATGCTGGATTGTGAAATGGGTGATTGTATGTAGCACATATACACTGGCCCTGAATCTGTTGCTGCCTTGCCTAGGCTTTGTTTAGGACCTCGTTCAGTTTTGACTTGTACTTGTGTCCCCAGTTTCATCTTTTTCTTTCCTGTTTTCCTTTTGCTTCTTTTGTTTGGTTTTTTTTTTTTTGCTGATGATTTTAGCAGATGGAAAGATGTTGGAGAAGGAGCTGAGATCATAACATGCAGAAGTTGAGGGCTGTGTCTGAATAGCAAATGCAGAGAGATAAGTGGGGAATGGCACAGGCAGTGATTGCTGAAGTGTACAATATCTCTGTTATGCCTTTGAGTTAGCATCTAATTTTAATTAATTGCAGGGCAGAAGAACCCCTGTCGTTCTTCTAGATGTCTATAACTTGGAGAGAATTATACTGAATTAATTTACATTTGGAGTGTTTTACTTAGAATTAACGTTGAAAGAAAGCTCCCTATGTTAAAAAAAATAATTCTGCAGTACCTGGCACACTTCTCAAATATTGTACTAATGTGAGATGCACCAATTTCTTCACAGTTCTGCCTTAGAGCACGCTGTGGATTGGCAGCTTGTCTTTCCCATTGTAAGCAGGCATTGATTTACCTCCTTAAATTTTCTCCTTTTTCATTACTTTATTGTTCTTGCCTTTTAGATTGCTGTATGCCATGAACTTTACAACACCATCAGAGATTACAAAGATGAACAGGGCAGACTCCTTTGTGAACTTTTCATTAGGGCACCGAAGCGAAGGTAAGACCGTGGTTCTGGTTAAGCCTTGGACCTGCAATTCAATCAGGGAGTAAGTGGATATTGAGGAATATTTCAGCATTAATAGCTATGAAAAATTTAAGCTAAATTTGTCTTAGTTTCACACCAGTGTTTGCTCTGAATATTTGACGTAATTATTCAATGGGCCATGCTAACATTGGTGCCCTTTTTCATTCAGAAAAGGGTACACTGAATTAATTTAAAATTATATCTGCCTAAAGCATCTGTGCCTTTGACTATAAAATATTCTATGTAAGTGATGAAATGTAATACCAACGACATACCTTGGGAAGGTTAATACAAGTGACCCCTGAAAATGCAGTAGATAGAGTTAGAGACTGGATTTTATCTTGGAACTCAAAAATTGAGGATGACAACAGAACATGTGCTAAATTAAGCCTACTAGTAGACCACTGTCCAGATCTTTTAGCTGTAACAAAAATGTATTGGAACTTTGTTTTATTTAGTCATAGATAGGTACAAACTTTAGTGCTGTGGTTTTGGTTTCACTACTTGGAATGTAATACCTGTTTTTGTCATTGCAACAGAAATCAGCCAGATTATTATGAAGTGGTTTCTCAGCCAATTGATTTAATGAAAATCCAACAGAAGCTGAAGATGGAGGAATATGATGATGTGAATGTGCTGACTGCTGATTTTCAACTTCTCTTTAACAATGCGAAGGCTTACTATAAGGTGAGGAAAATACATATAAAGGCTCAAATTACTTGTAAAAGTGGTAGAGATGTTAAAATTCTTCCTTGATTTGGCCAAAAACCTTTCCAGTTTAGCCTTTATTATTGGTAACTGCTATGTGTGCTGTTCTCTTATTTGCATATATTTCTGTAAGGTTGACTGTATTATTGTCAGATGTCCTATTATAGCTATTTCTCTACGGAAAGCTATAATATAATGTGGGGAGGATCTTCATGTAGTTTTCCAAAAGAGATAAAAAGCAAAAATAGATATGTAAACTGAGAAGAATATTTTTCTAACAATCCTTTTGAAATAGGATGGATTTTTTTCCCCTAAAGGATGAGTTTATAAATAACAGCAAGCATACAGTAGGAGTGTTGAATCTTTCTGTTCCATTGGCCACTTAATCAAACAATAAAAAGGCACATTGGTCAGTGATGACAGATTGTGAGTGTACGTGATGATCATCAAAGGTGCCACCTCCATGTCCATTCCCCCAAACTGGCTATGTGTTATATTTTAGATGTTAATGATTTTTATTGCAGTTGCCATAAGGAAGTGAGGAAAAAGAACTGGATTAATCTTGTTTAATGGCAGGCTATGTTAAATGCATAAAACTGAAATTGTGTGTGGCTACTGAGACAGCAAATCTAAAACTGCCAATATTACCTTTCCTGTGTCTTTCACTGTGGAGATGATCCAAATGTCTGCTTTCTGAATGACCCAACCAGTGTAGCCAGGTGACATTCAGAAAAGCAATGTTTATTTTGTGTACATTTGTGTGTCTGTGCAGCTTTTTGGAAAACAACCAGATTTATGGATTAATGCATTTGCATAGTACAGTAGAAGACGTACAAAGATTTCTAAATTCATTGTGTATTCCTGAAGCTTTGCAAGGCACTTGCCCATTGATGTTGGCTGTTTCACGGTTTCTACGTGAAGGAGGAGGACTTGGTGGCAGGAAAGAATGATGAGAGTTTAACAGAATGTGTGCTGCCTTTGCCTACAGAATAGTGGACTCAATGTTATATCTGTGTTGTAAAAATCTTGCAGGTAGAATAGAAATAGGTAGCTATCATTCTAGGATGAAGGAATGTTGGCATTTCCAGAGAAATATGGAGTTGCAAGCTGGAGGTATGGTACACAAACATAACCTCTTCTTTTTTCCTCTTTTACCTTACCCACGCAGTTCCAATGACGCATATAAAACAGGGACGGCTGATTCATTCTCAGGGTCTTTATTGCAGCAGGTGTTTTATTGGCAGTGCTGGATTAGAATAGAAACATTTTGGTTTTTTAATATTTCAGTTCAAGTCTTACACTTCTAAGCATCTTGCATTAATATAGAAGGAAGCAGACTAGTGGAGCAGAATACCCTTTAAATCTGTTCCTCTTAATTAGCACCTGGTCTAATGTCTTGAGAATATTTAAGCCTAATAAGGTAAGCTTAAGAATAGTTCTCATGTTGGTTTCTCATTTGTATTACAAGTTGTCAGAGGTTGAGAGTGAAATAAGAAGAGCATAATCAGCAGTAGTAAGGTGACACATCTGCAGGAGTACCTGAAACAGAGGTTAAGTGACAGAGGAAAGGGAATGAAAAATACGTAAGAGTGGAAAAGCAATCTTTTCTTCTGGGTAATGTTCTTAAGTAGTAATGGTAATGGGCACATGCTTGTCTGCCACTAACAACTCCCTATTTACAGAATGTAATTTGCTGACTAATTCTTCTAGCTCTTCCAAAATATATACCTAGATGTGTACCCAGGAGGTAGCATGTTGCCAGGTTCTTTGGAATTTCACAGTTAGTGCTGAGTGTAAATCATTTCAGTGCTTTCAAAGGTATTGGCACCATTATTCTCCTTCTTCTTCTGTAGAAATTAATTTTCAAGTGCCGCACAATGGCAGCAGTATTGGCTTAAATCACATTTCTGGCATACTGATATTTAGTCTGTTTTGAATATCAGTAGTGTTATGCTGCAATTTCTCCACGTTCATCTAATAGGCTTGTCCAGGCCTCAACCCAAGTAATTTTATTGCTAAGTTTTATGAAAGACTTAAGATGCTTTAGAGTGATAGAGGTTTTATTTTCTAGTGCTTATTGCGATTCTCAACATATCTGTTGAAGAACAACTGGAGTAGGAATTTTCCAAGTTTTCTATTATTTTTTTAATGCACTTAATACCTTTAAACTAATAATTTATAAATCTCCTTTAGATAAGAACGATCTGAATTTTGAGTAGAATGTTTGATTTGTTTTTGCAGCCTGATTCTCCTGAATATAAAGCTGCCTGCAAATTATGGGAGTTGTATTTGCGCACAAAAAATGAATTTGTTCAAAAAGGTGATGCTGAGGAGGAAGATGACGATGAGGAAGGACATGACAATCAAGGCGCAAATTCTGAATTAGTAAGTGTGGGCATGACAGTTGCAGTTGAAGGAAACTGTGGCTGTGTGTGTCAGCTGTCTCTGAGAGGGAGATTGGCCTCCACATGTAAAAAAGCATTAAGTCTTTTCATAGTGAAATTATGCCCCAAAATGTATTTCTTACACAGGTTTATTCGTTAATAATTTCACAGCATTGAATGTGTGTTTCATTTTTGCCTGGCAAAAAAAAAGTTACACTGTTTTCTGATATGGATAAAACGTAGTTCTGGTTTAGTTGAAACTAATATGGTGAGTGCTTGATACCATCCATGCCAGCACCGAGGTTTGATGCAAGCAGGCTTCATGTCCAAGGACATCGTTTTTCAGCGTGTGTCCCATGCAGGTAGTACAGCTGTTCCCGGAGTGTTTTATAAGCCAGATATGATGATAGAAAGTTTGAGCTTGCCTGGTTTTTGTGATGTTGGGGTGCATGTTTTCGTTAATGTTGACAACCAAGTCTGTTCTAGCAATACAGAATGTATGACAGTCTGCAGTGTAAATGTGAAATTAAAGTTTTCTCATGTGCTTTACCTAAATGCGTAAACAATGTTGCTTTCAAAAGTTGCACCCCTGTTTTATAGCTGATTTTTTCTGTCTTTGAAAAGTAAATTCATGTATTTCAGTGCAACTTGAAGCACTCCACTATGGCTGCTATTAAAACTTCTTCTGATTTCAATTCTTATATAGTCATCTCCAGGTTACCTGAAGGAAATTCTTGAACAGCTTCTTGAAGCTGTAGCTGTTGCCACAAACCCATCAGGACGTCTCATAAGTGAATTGTTTCAGAAACTTCCTTCTAAAGTGGTGGGTATTTTAATAATATTGATTGTGTTCTAAGCTGGAAACCTGGACATTTGTATAGCTGATGTTAGACACTATGATGGGCACACTCAGGATGCAGTTCTTTGTTACTATCTCTTCAGTGGCAAACTCCAGCTGTTTTTAGAACTTCCCTCCCTTCTTTGCTCCTACCCACTCATTCCCAGCCCTTCCTTGCAGATTTGGGCTTGCCATGTTCTGCCAGTTGGGGTAACTGGGGTTTTTTTGGTGCAGTTTTTAATCTTTTAAAATATGTCTTTCGCTATTCTGTTTCAGGGTGTGGTGTAACAACTTTAACCAGCATAATAAATACTCTGAAGGCCATCACACATGTATTTGGCTTTCAGACAGCACTGTTCTTTTATGTCAGTTTGTTGATGAATTATAATTCCTTGTATCTGCCTTATGATCTGACTTGCCCAAATTGAAGCCTAGTGCTGTGTTTATGAAGCTTACACTGTTAACTGCAATTCACCTAATAGCTCATTGTCTAAGCTATTAGAACAATAGCTTTATGACTGTTTATAGTAATATATAAATTATTTTTGTTTTCCAGCAATATCCAGATTATTATGCAATAATAAAGGAACCCATAGATCTTAAAACTATTGCCCAAAGGATACAGGTACAGTATGAGCATATTTATGTGTCGTGGTATAGACTTGTTTAACAGTAAGCATTCTAAAATAGGTAAAAGCCAAAGGTTATGGTGGTAGGAAAGGCAATGTGTTTTTCCCCTCCTACTTAAAAGTGTGAATGCTGTGCTGCTTTAATCTTCTGTCCTGGGTTAAAGCTGCAGAAGTATAACTGTGTTGAAGATCAAGCATTGTATACTGTAGTGTGCTGGCACTGAGCCTGAATATCTTGAGTTCCTTGATGTTTAATGGTTTAAACTAGTTCCTTGGCAAGTACTGCTAATGTAAAATATTAAGGTATTGAAGCTTGGTCGTACATTATCATCACCTACTTTTGTTCTAGTGCTATAAATAGATGTTTTGTACTGATGCATTTTTCATCTGACTTCTACAGGAATTTGAAATACTGTTCTGTTACTCTAGCATTCTGTATAACAGTGAGGCATAGCACATAGACTAATTGAACTAGAGAATGCTGCTGTAAAATAACATTTTGTCAGAACCCTTCAAAATGAAGATAATCTGATGTATTAAGTATTTTTTCAATCTTTGACTTAACATTTGTAAGCTCTATAAGGATTTAGCACTGTTTGTTCCTTTCTTTTTTGATGACTTTTTCCAGATACCTATCTGTTCTCTTTATAGAATGTTATTGTTTTTCTGTAAATGTTCCCTTTATTCTATATGAAATCCCTTTGCTTTTCACTATTGACTTATTTTTCATGCTATCTGAAGGCTGGCACTTTAAGCAGTTCTGGTTTTTTGTCGTTTAGAATGGAACTTATAAAAGTATTCATGCAATGGCCAAGGATATAGATCTTCTGGCAAAGAATGCCAAAACCTACAATGAGCCTGGATCACAAGTATTCAAGGTTAGTTTCAGTTGTGCATAGTTTGATTTGAGTTCAGATTTTTTTCTGCTGCTTTCTGTGCTGATTGATCCTTAAACAAACCTTTAGCATAAGGCCCTAAAGACTGCTTACATTTTTAAAATAATTGCTATTAGTACCTTTACCTTTTTTTATATTGCTTTTAGTATAACTGAGGTGTATGTAATTTTTTTTTTTCTTGACGTATATGATTTTTTTATCCAGAGATAAAATTTAATTGGAAAGAGTTACATGATTTCTTTGGAGGAATGGAGGATCCCTGTACTTGTGGTTGAAGTTAAAATGGCTGAAACTACAGGTTCAAGTGCTAGTGGTAGTACTCAGCTGTTATCTCTTTCCAGATTGCAGGAACTGTTTATGGTTTTCATCATAAGCTTCAAAACCAGTCATGCCTTCTTTGCATAGTTTTTGAAGTTCTTCTTCCTTTTAGCCATATTTTTGTGACCAAATTGCACCTCCCATCTTTTTTGTACTTAGTTCACCAGTGTTTTGTGTACAGATTATCACACTGTTGTTTCCATGTACTCTGGAAGTAAGAGAAATTCAGTGGTAAATTATTCCTTTGTGTGCTTGGTTTTTTAAGGGCTTTGTACTGAGAGACCTTGTGTATGTGTGACACTGTTGTGTAAGTGGCTCTTGGACTTTTCCAATTGCACATCTGTTTGGGTTGTAGTTTCAGTTCCTAGAGATATTATTCATGCTTGTAACCTCACTCAAAACTTGTAATCTCTATGTTGTGAACTGTTATCAAGTCCATGGGTGAAGAATGAGAGAGAGCAAGCATTGTAAAGCTCGATGATGGCAGTAACTTTTTGATTGCAAAGGCACAGAAACTCATTTGCCTGCTTAGTTTGAAGTGGTATTTGTGTGTATTTGCAAATTGTAGTTGTTTTTGGTTTTTTTTTTTAAAGGCTATGGCAAACAATGAACTTGAAGCTACTCAGCTCTTCTGTTCAGTTTTTACAGGCCACCCTTGGGTGTATTTCAGGCAGACTTTGTTCTGTGCTTCATTTCTCATGAAAAATTGTTTTGTATCTAAATGTAAAAAAGCCTTCATTTTTGTTTTTGTTTTAGATTTTTAGGTAGATGGATATACCTGACTATAACATTATTAACTCAACATTAAACAAATAAATTCTTTTAATTGACAGGATGCAAATGCGATTAAAAAAATATTTAATATGAAAAAGGCTGAAATTGAACACAGTGAGTTGGCCAAGTCAAGTCTCCGAATCAGGTACTGCAAATAGAGTTCTTTATAAAATCTCTCATAAAAATGTCTATAGACATTCCCTTAATTTTGCTGTGGAGAATATAGTGGGAAGTAATTGCTTGGAAACTTAGTTTGTTGTTGTTTTAAAAGCTATAAATCATAAAATAGTTTTTGGAAGGAAACTTTTATTGAAATACTTCTGTGGTGAAATATATGTGATGTACTTGATTATGAAAAACAGCATCAGTGGATCTTTTATAATTTAAGCTATGGCCAACTCCCACCACGTGCATTTGTAAGTTAACAACAGAAGAGGAATTGTGAGGAACAAGGTGCTTTGTTGTGCTCTGCTTTATGAAAAATGCTGGATATTCTTGAACCTTGTTAGGAGCTGAAACGTAAGAGCTCAAAGTTAATTAGGTAGGGGCAAAAGCATAGGAACAAGACCTCAGGCAAAAGATAAAGATACTTAGAGGGAAGTCCACATGATATAAACTCTTGTTTGAAAACCAATTTCTAGCTATGAAAAAAGGCACAGGACACTGAGGATCTGGACTTACTAATCAGTGAAACATAGATTTGGTCTTGAACAGTCAGGTATAAACCACTTTGATAGCTCTATTTGTTTGATGGAATGATTTTATTTAGGAAACAGCATTTTCTTCCTGTGAAAATCCATGGTGTACAGAGAAGTGATGCAGCCATTTTAGATGTTTCTTATCTGAAATGCAATTACGTTTCTTCTCGTTTAAACTTACGAGTAACGCTCAAAAGAAGGTTTGATTATTATTTGCCAGTATGAGCTGTGTCATTTATCTAAAAAAATAAAGCAACATCTTGCAAGTCATCCAGGGAGTTAGCAAACTCTTTACAAGGTGGAGTCTCTTTATGTATTTGAGCTGTTTACTGGTATTTGATACTGCAAAATAACTGCTGTCATTTCCTGCAAAGGTTTCTATAGTACAGCTGAAAACACTAGCACTCCCTTTACTTTACTGAAAGGCAGTTAAAATTTTTTTATTGTCTGAAAAATGTGTAGATGGTGTGTCAGTATCAAAAGTATTGCCCTGGATTATTAGGTGTGAAAGAAATGGAAGTTACCTGATTGATTTTTACTATTTGGAGCTTTGAGACATTCAACCTATATAGTGGTGTTTCTGGTTCATTTGTTCAACATTAGCTTGCTTCCCATGTTTGGGTGAATCATTGTTGGAACATATGAAAATGCAAAAGCAGAAAGGGAGTAATTCCTTACGCACATATTTCAGTAATTTTCCTCCTTAAAAGTACGTGTAGTGCCAGAAGACACTGAACATACATATGTGTTTGCTTTGCAGTAACTAGAATCACATGTAGGCATAGAAGTTTCCTATTTAAATTGTGATTCTCTTTTCTTTTTCTCACTGTGTTGGCCATTGATGAAGCTCCGGATGTCACATATGTGTGTCATGTTTCATTTTGAGGATTAGCTTTTTATTCAAAATAAAGCTGTTTGCATAAGAAGGGATGACAGATAAATCACACTGATATTTGTTAGTCGAATTCCTCTCTTGCACTGCCAACCCATTTCCACTTCTCAGCTACATTATTCTAGATATTCTCTTATGTACTGTGTTCTCAATAGACTTGCAAATCCTACAGTAATCTGAATGTTAGAATAATTGTCAGCTCCCTTCTTTATCTCTCTAACTTGGCAAAAAAACCCCAGAAAACAAACAAACAAACCCTAAATGCAAAAAAATTTGGGGTGAGAGAGAAGTCTTGTGAAAGCCAAACCTTCCACCTGCTGTTCTGCATTTCACTGGTTGCCTTTTTCATCAAAACACTATTCTTTTTTTGTTTCTTTCTGCTGAAGCTGCATCAGAGAATAACTTGTTTTTATTTAAATCCCTAACTGCTTAATTGTCTCAAAGCAGGGGGTCTCCTTTACCTATTGGTGAGTTTGGTAAAACACCCCCATAAGTTCATTTAAAGTTAATTCACTATATTTTTCTCCTGAATTTACATCTGTGTCTTTTTTTGTCATTGATGGATCAGGCTCAAATTCATCATTTTCTTTTGTCATTGATGGATCAGGCTCAAATTCATCACAACGCTACTAACCTGAGTTCTGCAGACGTGTTGCCTCTGTGTCAAAAATCACGCTTTTCTATCACAGAATTCATTGTGTCGTTTGTCATACTAAATTGCTCTTTGTTGGTGCATTTAACTGTCCTCCCTTAAATAAAGTGACAAAATAAAGTTGCTTGACAATATGCACTGTCAAGCAACTTGACAGTGATTTGGTTAAGTATTGATAAAATGTGATTGGATCTGTATGATTAGCTTCACCTGGATGCGAAAGAACATTTTGTTGGCTGCTTTCACTGCTATCGTAGGCTGAGCTGTGTGTATAGCTATTAATCCTCAATCTAAATGTTACTTTCCTCTGACTTTATAAACAAAATTGATATTAATGCTGGGACACTGAATGTATCTTAGTAATACTTTACTTTTAGCTTTAAAGCATTTTATATCTGTCTCTGAAGCTTTTGGCTGATCTGTCAGAGGAATTCTGTGAAAAGCTTTACGCTTGCCGCATCTTTTCTTGGGTCTAAGGTGGGCCTCTTTTTTTTCCCCTTCTCTTCGCTTATCTCTTCTGCCTTAAGGACTCCATCAAATTTGACTGCTTCCAAGCTGACAGGTCCTTCCTCACAGGGTAAAGGCAGTGTTGGTGATGAGAGAAATTCTTCTAACAAATATTATCGGTAAGTAAATTGTAGACTTGGAGGAAAAACTGGGTCGTCATCATGTAGAAATGCTAAAATTCTGGTGTGGTTTTTTTGGGAGTTTTTTGGGTGTTTTTGTACTTGAGAGTGCTCTTCAATTTTGACTCAAATACTTTTGAGATTCAAATATATTTCAGTCAAATATTTATCAAGTATGATTTAATAAGTTACTTTGCTGTAATTACTGTTCCATGTTTGATTTTATATTTAACATTTCAAAACACCTGTCGTGAAATACTCTGTATGCAATTATTTCCTTAGAAATGTTCTGAAGAAGGGTATGTTAAGCTTCATTACAGAATAAAACAGGTGAAAAAAACCATGGAAACGTGTTGTAAAGCTAGAAAAATTATATTTGGAGAGTAAAAAGAAATAGTAAGTAGGACCAAATAATTAAGAGATGGATAGTGGAAATCGATGGAGCCTGTGAAAAGAAAATACTGCATTTGAGATGCATTTATGGCAAACTTTCCAAGAAGACTGGATTACTGTAGGCCTTCTGGTTCATTCTTTCAGTCATCAGTTGAGGATTTTGGTGCCTAGCAGAGGTCTTGTGTCTGCAGTCTCTGGGTTACTGTCTTGAAACTGCACCCGGCTAATTCCCTGCGTGTATAACTCTGAAACCATGGCTTGACACAGCAGCTGCCAGGGTCTTTAAGGGACTGAGCATTTGTAGAGAGTTGGTGTCATTTTGAGCATCTCATCTGCTTTTTCTCAGTCTTCACTTGCTCCCACAGGGTCAGGCTGAGCACATTGCTGGAGGTGCGTCAAGAGCTGACCCAGTAAAGTAACAGAGATTGTCAGGCATAGCCTGCAGTGTAGGTGTGAAATACTGTCCCCCAGGTTTGGCACTAAAGGGAGGAAGAGAGGGGTAATGAAGAAGTCTTCATGAGACCATAGCCAGCGTGGACACCGATTTACTCCACCTAGAAAGCAGAGAAAGCTGCTTCACCTACAGGCACACTCTGTGTGCTGAAATGCCTGAGGTGGGGCTGGGTGAATGGGTGAGGATTGCATATACAGCATACAGTGTGCTGAATTCCTTCATGTAGACAAATCCCCATAAAACAGGATCAAATAACAAAGTTATTACTTGGAAGGGACTTGTTATCATCTCCTTTTTCCCCCAATAATTCAAATATTTAAGTATTCAACATAGGACAGAAGATAGCTAGCTTGAGCTCTAGCTTTCTGATTGTGTGTCCAGTTTTTCAGTTTGATGGACCACCTCTTAAAACAGAGGCAGATTTATGGGTCAGTAACAGTTTCTCATGTTAAGGGTCCCGGTCTTTTCTTGCATAGTCATGTCTGTACTCCTGATAATGTAGACAGCAGTCAAGAGCTTCACTTATTTACTTACACGCTGTGTGTGACTGTTAATGGTTAACATTATAACACCTCTTTTTTTTTAATTTTGCAATTTTTTTTACCTTTTGTCTTTTATAGTAACAAAAGATCAGCCCAAGGGGATCGTTTATCAGCAATAACCATGGCATTGCAATACGGATCAGAAAGTGATGAGGATGCAGCTTTGGCTGGTAGGAACTGAAATGCAGTTTCTCCATTTATTTTCTTTAATGAAAATATTTGGAATAAGCAAAACTGTAGAGCTCCTGATACATTAAAATATCTTTTATTTGAAAAATATTTTGCAATATTTTGTCTTAGTTGTCTTGTCTTGGTAGTTACATTCTCAGTAACTTCCTTGTATTCATCTCAGAGGAGGTTTAAAAAATGGTTTTGTACATGTACTGTTGTTTTATTTTTTGTTTACATTATTTCTGCATTGATGTGGAATGGTGCATCTCTTCAATATATATTTTGGGGCATTTATTTCACACCTGGTAATTGAATTGCATTCACCACTGTTTTCCAGTGGATGGATATGCTGTAGAATGTTTTGAATCACTTTGTATCTTGCTGCAAGCAAAAGCATTTTTATTTTTGGTTAGCCCAGAGTTCAGTTACTGCTTCAGAGCAGCTGCTTTCTGGGAGGTGTGGGTATTTATTAGCTTGGTTCAGCGTCATTATTAGCTGCTATTTTTGCAAATGGTAATTCTGTAAAAACGCACAGCTTTTTATGTCATTATGTGATTTAAATTCTTGAAGGAATTTAAACACTTTCAGGTGCCACTTTTACTGTGGACATTATTGTCCTTTTCATGGGGTCTTTCATAGGCATCTAAGATTTTTGCCTTGCTGCTGTTGAAGCTCTCCTGTCTTTATTGCATTCACCCAAGAGGCAACATCAATTTTTTTGGCAGACCTCTGTCACCCTTAAGATTTTCTGTCCTTCCAACATACTACTTGGATATCCCTATGCTTTCAGTCTCCAGATGAAAAGGATTTTTATTTAAACCAAGTGTTCTTTTTAGTAGTTGCTCTTATATGTCATGTTTTTTCTTCCTCTAGCACTCGTTAAAATAAATGAGAACTAGGCTGCATGCCTGAACATTAACAGAACTTTCTCCCTCTTGAATCGGAGAACTAAATCTTTATGAGCTTCTCCAATTGTAGCAGTTGCCTAAGCAATGAACAATATGTGTTTCCAACTTGGAGTTTATCCTCGTGGTTTCAGAGGGTGTCATGGTGTGATGGAGCTGTAGAAGATTTCCAGCTCAAATGTACTAGGACATGAGCAGCTTCTGCAGCTCTGTTGCTCCTCATTATAAATCTGTAAAGGCAGGCATAGATGGTCATTATATATTCGTTATAAATAAGTATTTCATTTTGTCAACAAAGCTTTTTTATTTAATGTTGTTTCACTTAGAAATATTTTAAGACTGGATGCTGGTTTTTGTTTTACTGGCGTCTATCTTCAGTTCGACTTTGAGCGTTCGTTTTTGTCTGTGTGCTTTGGGACACTTTAAAGCAAATTGCTTACTGAGGTTATTTTTATTTCATATACATTCAAATACTCTCCTCTCTCTGTGCTCTTTTTCTGCCTCATCATTGAGTAGGATTCAATGTATATGATATATGCATTTATATCTGGTAATAAAGCTCAGTTCCAGTTGTAAATTAGATGGCTTCCTCATTTTGCAGTGAAGTCAATTTAACACCACTCCATTATGATGTTGTCCCTTCATTAGGAAACAGTCGCTGTGGTGTAGAATGAACAGCAGGAAATACATTTTGTTTGGGACTGTTGAATGCCATGTTTTGTGGTTATGGTTTACTGCATTATTTTTTTTCTCCTGTATCTGCTAACTGCAGTTGTGGTAACAGCTGCGTGAAAGGGGAATAACTGACTGTTCCTCTCCACTGCCAGCGTGTGCTTGGTGGGGATATGGCACTTGGTGCTACTGCATGTTGAAGAATCTGCAGTCCTGCACTAGATTGTTTGTTCCATAGCAAAATACAGATTTTTTTTTTTTGTCTTCTGATCTGAATAATAAATTCTTTATTTTTAGATTTCTGTTCTTCAGTTTTTAAGATAACAGGTTTCGTATTAGGAACACACTGAATATGTAAGAATATGTAATGTTTGACACATCACTTTTAAAGAACATACACATAATGAAAATGTTTATAGCTGTTTAACAATATTATGTAAACACTCCTTTTAGTGCCTGTTTAATTGACCTAGATTTTTATTTTAAGGAATGCCTCGTGTTCTACTTTTAATACAAAGAAAGTATATTTCTTATTTAGGGTATTGAACTCCTTTGTTGTCGGCTGCCGTGTGTCAGGACAACAATATACTTGACTAGTTTCTTATTTTTTCCTCTTTCATAAAAACAAGTTGTTCTGCTTTTTCTATTCTGTTTCTTTTTGATGGAGCACTCGGAACTGAACTGTTTAAGTAAACAAACCAAAGACAGTATTTTGGTGCATAATCTAATTTGGAAACTTACTTTACCCGATAGCATTCTCTTAGCTGTTAGCATTTATCACCATGTTCAGGTTGATGTTTTAGGTACAGGAAAATATAGTTCTAATTCCAAGCTTTTGTTTCTACTTGAGTTACTCTGTCCAGCTCCTGCTTTGCTGGCTGCTGTGTAGTAGATGCTAGACCATTAAGTGATGCTGATTGGCACACAGATATATAATTAAGATAATTTTGAGTGTCTTCCCTGAATCAGTAATGAATGTCTTTGTTATGTGTTTGCACATCTACTGAGGTCTGCTTGTGTTTCAGCTTGCATCTAACGTGTCTGGTAGGTCCCATATGTCATACACTCACATAGATCTGCAACGTCAGACTCCAGAGGAAGAATTATAGTACTATGTTGTTATGCAATCAGTGTCCCCTGACTTTGTCATAATTCGGTATGTCTTTACTGAACTTGGATAGAAAGCTTGAAACATTGCCAGCCTCCACTGAGCAATAATGAAGATGCCAGCTGGAAACTTGGCGTGAGTGTGAGAGAACTGTCTTTTGTGTAACTGAATTACCCAGTGTGTCATCTACCAGGCTTTCCTTCAGACTTTAACTCCTAAGAGGGGTAAAAGGGTGAATAATTTAACTGTAGTATGTGCAAAACCACATAGATTTTATCTTATGCCTGTCTGCAAGGTACAAATTACATTGCTTTTGTTACTGAGAAGTGTGGAAGGATTGGCCATTTGTTGCTTCCCATCCTGTATTTCCACTACCAGTTTTTTCATTCCTGTTGTGTTTCTGTTGCTCATATAATGTTTCTCTAATTTTATGTGCACTAAATGTTAGTCCTTCATAGCATTTCTTTCATTCGTCCTAATCCTAAAGCGTAATATGTGCTTCGTATAGGGAACTAGAAAAGTTTGCTATAAAATTTGTAAATACCTTATTAGGAAAGGTTTATGCTAATTATATAATAATTCTAAATTTTGCTGCATATATTAGAGGTGCACTTTCAGGCTTTAGTGTCAGTTTTTTTATGATAAACTTCACAATTTTTTAATTGAGCTGCGATTAATATGGTCTAAAAGATTATAGAAGTTTTGAAGTCACCTGTTAGATATATATGCAAAAATTCATTTTTAATTTGGCCATTTTGCTTAACTGGCTAGGCACTTCTGAAAGTTCTAGATGTAGTTGATCCATTTATATTCTTGTAGTGAGCTCTTGTCAGATAGCAGAATGGCACTAGTTCAATATACAAATGTATTTGGCACAAAGACTAGTATAAATGGTTTGGTGGGTAAATAAGGATGTAGCTGTTCTACAGGTAGTGTGTGGTTAAATATTCCTGTTACATAGTCTCATATATGAACACTTCCCAGTACTTGTAGGTGGCAAGAGTGTGTTACCAGTGACAGAACTGAAGTCTCATCTGATCAGAGAGAATGCAATACCTAGATAAAGTAGGAGTTTTTGTCAGCTTGAGATACATTTATATTTGTGATACAATAATATATAGTATATAATAATAATATAATAATATGATATATAATATATAATATATAATAATATACTATATATAATATAGTATGATAATA